TATATATATATGTATATGTGTGTGTGTTTGTGTGTATACTGCAGACACCAAGATATACAAACAGATAAGATTACAAATTTTCCAATGATTAGTAACATCTGTGCTTCCCCACTTTTGAAAAGTACCAGTGGCCACTGATGTATTAACACCTTTTTATCAGTGTGACATGTATAGGTGTACCATTTTCATCCACTGTGTATACAGATGTCCTGCCCACTGACACCTGTTTGAGCTTCTGTCCGGTTGGAGAAGGGATGTGATACCAGCAATCTCCTGTGAACAGATCAAACCTTTCTAATGCTGCTGCAGAAATAGAGGCAATGCTGCAATAGCAGCATGACTTGCATTAAAATGCAACGTAAGAGACAAGTATGTATTGTTGTATTCTCATGGGGTGATACATGTACAGGCTTTGTGATAGAAGGCTATTTCCTCACCTGCCGGGTTCTGGGTAGACACAGAGCCCCTGTAGAATGCAGAGCCATCTTTAGCGATGGCCCAAACCTGGTGGACGGCACCTATGGAAATCGACTTGAAAGCCTGGTCAGTTCCAACATGTAACCATGATGACCCCTGTGAGCAAGCCATGTCATCAGTCAGGGTTACATAATTCGGAGAAGACTCTAACAGTGATAGTGCTGGAGTTTGTGAAGTATCTGTACACTATTTGCATGGGAACTACTGAATGCTAAACATATTAGCCAACTTCTAGAAAATAAGGAACTTGGCTCTTACTCCAGGGGTAAGTGAAGAGACACCCAGACGGCACAAGACGTCTCCTTTGTTGCTGATGGCCCACAATGACACCTGTTCCACTGTGCTCTTCGGTCCACAAGGCAGGATTGTGATGTCACTCAAAGATATAGGTGGGACTTCCTGCCAGGGGCCAGTTGTTGTGAGTTTACACTTTCTAAGGTGGAAGAAGATTGTGATGGGTGTCAAATTTAACAATTACAAAAATAGTTTCTTTATGATTACAAAAAAAGTATTTTTTTCTCTACAGCGAATATGAATGCATTAGTGAGAGCGATTGCGTGTGTGAATTAATTCTACCTGGCAGCGTCTCTCTACTAGTAGTGAAGCTGTGGAATTTACTAGTTATTAAGAAATATATGCTTGAACTTTTCAGTTTCTAAGCTATTTTATTGAGAAATCACAGAACAGTGTTGACAATACATTTCTGCACTGAATGATTCTGTGCGCGCGTGATATGTGCGTGTTGTACGAGCTACTGTCTGTAGCCTATGTGTGTGCGTTACAGTGCAGCAGCGCATTACATTAGAACGGCGATTAACTTACATGTACAATAAGCTGTTTAAAACGTGCATTCTCCTGTTCAATTTCGAGCATCCAGTAATATAATCACACATGTCTTGTGGAGCGCTTTCAAAATATGCATTTATTTGTCATTTTAACTGTTTGGAAATGGAGCGTAAATGTGGAAGTCCTTCAAAGATTTCTTATCCTGTTGCACCCTCTATAGGACCAACGACTAGTCGACGTCAAGCTTAAAGCATCACGGCAGAGCATTGAAGTCGACTAGTCGGTGCAACCCCTAATGTGTACCGTGTATATTTATTATGTATATATAAATACACACACATACATTATATATTTTGAAAATATTTACATGTATATACATTTATATTCTTATATTTTATATTATATATAAATATATTTAATATATAAACACAATTTTTCTTAAATATATACATGCATGTGTTTGTATTTATACATACATAATAAATATACACAGCACACACACACACACATATATTATGTAAACAATAACGTTTATTTTGGATGTGATTAATTGCGATTAATCGTTTGACAGCACTATTTTTTTTACTATTTACTACTAACTAGGGCTGTCAAATCGATTAATCGCGATTAGTCGCAACCAAAATGAAATATTATGTTTACACACATGTAAATATTTCTTAAATATATATACACATGTATGTATGTGTATTTATATATACATATAAATATAAACAGCACATACACATAAATATTAAGCAAACACAATTTTATTTGGGATGCGATTAATCGTGATTAATCGATTTGACAGCCCTAACAATTAACAAAATTAATCCCTCCAAATGTGAATTTCAGTAGGCAAAATGCAAATGATTAAAAACCTCTGCCAAATTACCTATGTCATAAAATAATTTTTAATTTATTTATTTTAACACTTTACAATTATTTTCAATTTGTTAACATTAGTTAACTACATTAGTTAACAATGAAAAATATCCTTAAAGTAAGTGCTAGATACCTGGCCCAACGTCTGCGGCGGACAAAGTCCTTCAATGTTTTATTTCCGTGGTATGACCTAGAATGGTGAATACATTCAGAAAAATAAAAAAAGTTAGTTCGCTCTCACTCTTGAAGATTGTGCTTTTTATGTTATAAGATACAGTAACAACGATAAATAACCAATATAACTTACGCAGGAAAGTCAGCTGCATACTGCCAGCCCTCTCTGTCTGTGCCACCTGGCACAACATAGTCAATAGTCCAGTCTGAGACCTGAAAAATATTAGGGAGCATTCACACATACAGCGATTTGCAACTATAAAGCAACCATAAGTCATTCACTGTCAATTGCAGTGACATGTTCTTTATGTATTTGGAGGAAATGCATAACAGCACAAACCCAAGTCCAGTTGGGGGAGGGTGGTTTTGTGTTGTTTTTAGTGCACTCCTTCAGACCTGAGGCATCGCTCCACATATAACGGTCAGTAGGGAGACCCCTGGAGGAGAAACAGTGAGGCACAGCAGTGAGCATACTGAACACTTCTGGATTACAAACATCATGCTCAGTATTAACCTGTTAGTGTAACCAGTGACAGGATTCCAGCGCTGGTTCTCATAGATATAAACGCTCTTCACATCAGTCTGTGTGTAGATGTTATCTGTGCTGCTTGCCAAACCTGTGTGTGTGAGATAAATACATTATGTGACTAAAATGCATGAAAAACGCTGATTGGTTTGGAAAGAGGTGATGAATTTACCCTGGAAGAAGCCTCCTCCATAGCCTCCTGTGTGGACCCAGGCAGTGTGGTCATAGCCAATCCCCCACACCACACCAAGACTGTTGGACTCAATAATACGCAAATGCCCTCCGACTTGACGCCAGAACCTGCCCATGATGACAACAATTGTAGTTTTTTTTTCCTTTTTCTTTTTTAGATAAGTCATATTTCCATAATGACTATTCATGAACTGCTATAAGGCATAACAGCAAGACAACAGACAAATATAACATTTATGAAGATATGCTTGTTCAAAAGTTTGGGGTAAGTAAGATTTTTTTCTTTTTTTCATAAAGAAATCAATACACTTATTCTATAAGGATGCGAATTAAGGATGTAAGAAAAATAAAGGCTTGTACATTGTTACAAAGGATTTATTTTCCATATAAATGCTTTCCATTAATCAAAGAATCTTGAAAAAATCGTAGTTTACAAAAATATTAAAACAGCTGTAGAAAATCGCTGCAGAAAATTCAGCGTTAAAGGGATAGTTCACCCAAAAATGAAAATTCTGCCATTAATTACTCACCCTCATGTCTTTCCAAACCCGTTTAAGACCTCCGTTCATCTTCGGAACACAAATTAAGATATTTTTGATGAAATGTGAGACCTCTCAGACCCTGCATAGATAGCAATGCAACTGTAATGTT